CTAGCTTCTGTATGAATAGTTACTGATATAGGTCGGATAGTGACACACTAGCTACTGTATGAATAGTAACTGATATAGATTTAATAGTGACACACTAGCTACTGTATGAATTAATACTGGTATAGATCTGATAGTGACCCACTAACTAATGTATGCCGGCGCCCAGCCAAGAACCCCTGATCGATAATCAAGATCTATATTGTAACAAAACGGGTCTTACCTCGCGAAGTACATCAATTCACGTGAGCACCTTGATGAAAACATGAAAAGCTGTGAAAAAGTCTGTCGCCGCCCGGGTGACCGTACACATGCGCTGCAATCTTGCAGTCTCAGGAAATCTTCACGGCAGTCGCCATATAGTTTATGTACCGGGTGTCGATTTCGTTACGCGGTTTTTGATAGGACTATGCATGGACTCGTTAGTCCAGCCAAAATATAACCCCATTATTCCAGTCTAGTTCGGCAAGGGTGAAACCTGATTTTTATGACGCCCTTGTTGTCACTGATCAGATCACAGCAAATGCCTTGTCTGTCTCCCATACCCTAGAGAATATATTAAAAAGGAGTCCAACTCAAGTCTAGAATGATTTTTTAGGTCTGAAATTCCGGATTGTTTTGGGCTCTTTTTGGATTTTATTAAGGACAATATTTTATTTTGGACAATATTAAGAAATACTTGAGCGTAAATACACCCTTCAAAAAAAAGAAACGCACAGGTAGTATGTAGTTCATTGAACCTGACTACACAAAAAATCCGGAATATAAATTGGATATATATTATTGGAAAATGTTGGTGGCCTTCAAAACGCAGCCATTGTCGATTTGCAATGACTTAAAAGGCATTGTTTTCACACTTGTTCAAAAATGTCATGGAGGAAAACAGTAAATCAAAATGCACGTGCAAGTTTTGGCATTCGTAAGTCTTGGTAGTGGCTATAAAAAGGCAAGCATAAGCCAATAATTTGTCATTCAATTGTCAACCTTTTTCAAGCTCGAAAATGCCGAGACTCAGCGCTGCCGATCGGAACATCGCCATAGGACGTAAAACTAAGAGGGGAATCGCAGTCTTCTGTTGTACGCCACTTCAACGCCCACCACAGCACCATTTGCCGCCTTTTAGACCGATACACACAGTTCAATTTCACTGCAGACCGTCCGAGAACCGGCCGACCAAGAGTTACCATCCCTGCACAGGATCGCTACATTCGACTGTTCCACCTACGTCATCGCAATGCCACAGGTACGGAGACTGCAGGACGCATCCCTGGTTTGAGGAAGTATCGGACCAGACTGTCAGGAACCATCTTCGCGAACCTGGAATCCGACAATTTCGGTGACGGTAGTGTCATGGTGTGGGGGCCATATCCTACACCACGAGATCTGACTTGGTTGTGGTTCAGGGAAATTTGACGGCAAATCGCTACATGAATCAAATTCTTCAACCTCACCTTCTTCCAATCATTGACCGTCAGAGGGAGCTGTTTCAACAGGACAACGCTCCACCACACACAGCTCTTGTCACGGTAGACTACCTACCTAATGCCAACATCAACGTTTTGCCCTGGCCGTCGAGATCTCCAGATCTCAACCCAATCGAACACCTCTGGGGTGCACTCGATCGACGTGTACGTCAACGTCAGAACTCACCACAGACACTCCCACAACTGGCCAACGCGTTACAAGCAGAATGGTGCAGAATTCGTACACTTATTCAGTCAGTGCCGAGGAGATGCAGAGCCGTGATTGCTACCCGGGGCGGTCACACGAGATACTGAGTTCAGCGCAACCTTGTGGCCGTATCTGACATGACAATGAACAGTTTTCAATACCTTTGTATAACGACAGCATGTAACTATCGAGCTCCAAAATTTCATATTTGTATCTATGATACTAAATTAAATTAAACGACGTTTTCGTGTTTGCAGTGACAGTGTATGACACTATAATCAGCTTTGCATTTCAACTTTTACTTTTAGTTTCCAATCATATGATGATTATTGAGGATACGTCATATTTCAGTATCACATTACTTGTGTCCCCCCCCCCCCCCCCCCCCCCCGCGATATTGCTCGAATATTGCTAAAAGCGGCCTAAAACCATACTCACAAACTCACTTAAATGTTAGCAACATCGCAATATTAAGAATTCTATATGATTAATTATTGTAAATTGGGACTAACGTTCTCAAGCCAATGTGTGTCTGGTCACTTACTTCACTTAAACGTGAAGAAGGAGGTTGTACATTGACGTGAATGGTTACAGTTACAGGGTTCTCGCTAGTTTGGCATTTAAGATGATGACAAACAGCTGTGCCATAAGAAACAGCGTTGTCATGCCCTACAGAAAGATTTAACTGTCATTAAAAAAATAATTCTCTTACATAGAATACTATTTTAATCATTCGGTCATATTGGAGCAAGTTGTCATGAGAACGGTAACAGTTTAAATGAGCAATTCAACAAATTCAATAGCAAAACACGAAAACGTTACAAATCATCTGGGGTTATTTTTAGAAAAAAATTGCCTAGAATTTCTGAAGGGGTGTCAAATATTAGTAAGACAATTTGATGATCTCTTTACTCTGCAGTTCCTGTCTGAACATTGGGGACATATTTTTATTTTCATCATTAACACTCCTTTTGTGTGTTATCCTATGAATAATCCTGATTTGCCACAATACGGTGTAAAACAGTATTCTGACAATGTGTCATATTACCATGCACAGAACACGTTTTAATCAAGTCGAGGCATTCCTGAAGATTATTGTGTGTTACCGTTGTGTTAAGTTCATGTGAAGGGTATTTTGGGGACTTGATGAAATTCACACAATAATCTGAATAGACATATATATACATATATATACAAAAATGAGGTAAATGTTCACTCGGTGTACATGTAATATATAATAAAATAATAAAGTCCACGTTAGTCCATCATCTTCTTTATATCAGTTTCATAAATAGTACTTTCACTGTCTCATGACAGCTCTTCAGTGTAACTGACAATGACATATAATGACGTCATACTTATGATGACGTCATAAATTACAACTGTGACGTCACAATGTATTTACACACTCCAGCGACGACACCAAGTAATTTAACAATTGTAGGGAGACTTTTGAATTAAATATACAGTATTTGTAAAGTAACAGTGCAACATTTACGATTGAAATGACAAATCTATTAATACATTCTAGAGTTCAACTTTGGTTTCATCAATTGGATAAACATTTGTTCTTTTTCCAGTCTCAGCTGCTTGTTACTTGTATACAATTTATAAAACGGAAAAATAGTAAATTTCCCGTTTCCGCAATCATCAATGTGTTTGCTGACACCTAAGCATCGAACATTAGGGTCTCTAATCTGCTGTTTGTGTACAGTGACTCTATCTTTTAATTCCATGCCGGTTTCACCGATGTAGTTTTCGCCGCATCCCGAACATCTCATAACATACACCACATCTTTGCTGCGGCAGTTCATGTCGGCTTTCACATTGAAACCCTTGCCATTTGCAAAAAGGAAAGTAGTACCTTCACTTATGATGTTACACGTGCCGCATCTTGGTGTGTTACATCTACTTACACATGATACACTCTCTGTACAAGAATATTTGGATGGACAAAGAATCTGCTTGAGATTTTTTGGTTGCCTGGTACTTTTTATAATTTTAAATTTATTCAGTCCTTGTTTCATTTTATCGCTTTATCTGTAGGATTGGGAGGTTGTCCCTTATGACTGGCATGATATCACAGTTATTAGGATTGAAGGTGGACACAAACGGTATAATTTGATCGCCCACAGATTTTTCATTAGGTTTCAGGAGAGTATGTCTTGGAATTTTTAAAGACTTTTCTATTGCGTCATTTATGACGCGAAGCGGATATCCTAGCTTCCTGAGATACCCCATTAATTCTTTCAATCTTAAATCTCTTTTATCCGTTTCCGACACGATGGTACATACTCTCCGCGCAAGTGAATAAGGAATGTTAGTTCGTGTATGCCTGGGGTGACATGAACCGAATTGTAGGTATTGATGGGTGTCCGTTGGTTTGTAGTAGATATCAGTTTTCAATTAAGTATCTTCCTTAACTACAAGGACGTTCAGAAATGGAATTTTGCTCTCGCTAGACTCCATAGTAAAACTGATGGAAGGATGGAGCTTATTAATAATATCCAGAAAAATGTCTAAATTTTCACGGGTTGAGAGCCAAACTAAAAACTGCATATATATATGCAGTCTGTGTATTTCACTATGTTAGAAAATAATGTCCAAATGTTACCTATTTTCGTTATTCGTTTTATTGTCCTAATTGTTAGAAGAGTTATCGAATAATTTGGATTAGAGTGTATATGTTTAAAATAGAGAAGATATGATCCAGTTAGGTGAAACCCAGTTTCTGAAACATCAACACAAAATAACCTATCTGGCTTCTTTTGAAAGCGAAATATGTTTGGTATATTGTACACACTGCTAATTAGGGCTGGGACGGGTAACTCGGGTACCCGGGTTAGCTACGTGATATTATGCACCCATTCCTTGTGACTTTTCATATGGCTGAATAACGATCTATATAAGTCAACTTCAGTGTATGCATGGCCAGATTGTTAAATACGTGAATCTTAGCACGTTTTGACAGGGCTATGGTAAAAAAAAGTCCCAATCGGACATTTTGTTCCTCTCTCTTGAGGCCTACAGTGGGTACCCGGGTAGGGTCGGGTAATAGGGGGACGGGTACCCGGGTAGTAAATTTGGACACGTCCAGGGCCTACTGCTAATGCACCTGTTCACCTCTTTATGCATCTCTGGTACAACTGTGAGGCAATTAAACATAACACCAACAATGCAACTGTTTTTTCTTTGTTTTCTGACGGGTGTATTCGTATGAAAACATCAAGAGTGTGGAAAATGATTTTAAAAAACTGTTATGTCAGCCCGATTACATATGTTCACTTAATGTCCGGCTTTTATTTGAAACCGGAAATGAATTTGACAGGAAGTAGGGTTTCACGCGTGCGTACGACGTGGAAAGAAAAACGAATTTACCTTGGGAGAGAATGTTTTGATTGTCTTGGTAAGGATCTGCGTTTGATGTTTTGCTTTTTTAGATTGAATGAGTGTAAACAGTGCATTCATTATTGATGCATACGATGATTTGACAAACCTGGCTAAGTGTCACACAAGTTTCTGCGACGGGTCTTATCACGGTCTCATCTTCCGTTCTTCACCTAGGCCTTATTCGTCACTGTCAAGATCCGACACTGTCAGAATTTACAAGATTGCCCTAATGATGTTTACACTAATGTTCGGACTGTTTCATACTGTTTATTTAATAGTTTGGTTTCTCCTACCGCGCTATGGCGATTGTTTTTGCAGCATATAGAAAAAAAAAGATGAGTGTTTCGAAAAGCCAACATCCTCTGGATCATGAAATACACATGCATTGCATTAAATTATAATTAATATTGGGAGTACTGCACTTTATCTACTCTGACAGTCCATATTATCTTCGCTCCCGCCCAGCCCTTGCTATTATGCTATGGCTTAAAAGAAGCCAGTCTAGATTTTTTTCACAGTTTCTGAATCTCCCATCTCACTGGGGCTCCTTTCCAATCTCGTCAATATAAATGTAGTTGTGTGTATCTATGAAAATGATATATTTCCGGAGACTAAGTGTCAGTCTACACTTTATCGTGTGCACATTTTCAGATTCCAATAAGCTCAACATGGGTACAGATGAATGAAATCTAGGGTAATTAAATGAGTGAGCTTCTCTAACCCTAACATGCCTAAGGAACTCAGACGCAGGTGAGATAAGTGAAGTGACAGCAACAGCAAAAACAAATTTGCACTAAATGGTTTTGCCTCCAAACTCATTAAAATCATCTTAGTTCTCACTACCGCTAAACAAAGATCTGAGGACGTCCCATTACGGGTCACGTTAGTCCGACCTTGCGTGAACTTTGACCAACCAATGGAATGACCAATCAGAAGGCAGCTTTCTCGTGCTTTACCGCACTAATTTCAAATTGGCGACTACGCTTTAAAACATATTTTGACAAATTATCGATTATAAATATGAAACCTGAACAAAAGAACATTCTGGAATGGCTAACAGATGGTCTGGATTGTATAGATTCAGGATGCATGATTAGAAATCACATTCCGACTGTCACTTTCATAATCTGGTAAGCGATGCTCTGATTGTTCGGATGAAAGGTCCTACTGACATGACCCCTAATTGGATGTCCTCAGATCTTTGTTCAGCGGTAGCGAGAACGAAGGTCTGATTTTAATGAGATTGGGGGCGGTCGGGTAGCCTAGTGGTTAAAGCGTTAGCTCGTAACGCCGAAGACCCGGGTTCGATTCCCGACATGGGTACAATGTGTGAAGCCAATTTCTGGTGTCCCCCGCCGTGATTTTGACAGTATAGTATTGAAAAGCTTTTGAGTTTTGAATAGTAGTATTATTTTTTCTTTTAGTAAGAATATTTTAGAGGAAGAACGGCTGACTGCAGAATTGTCAGTTCATTCTTGTATTCTTTTGGAAGTAATCATCTGATTAACACAGAGACTTGTTCACAAGCACATTAACTGACCATTCACAAATTTGCTAACCTGTTCACGAATTGGCGGAAGACATGCTTGACATTATTTACAATAATAATTCTGTTTCGGTAAATCTAAAATTTATTTCATCACCATAGTTTATCTAAGTTATTATTGATGACAAAAATTTCAAATCGATAATCATTAATATTTCTTCCCATCAGTTATAATTCCAATTATCAATCTTTTTAGCCAGCCCGTCATATTGTCCAGTTAAACAGATATGTGGCTAAACTGAGTTGAACAAAGCACTCTGAGGCCCAAGTGTAACCTACTGAAAATTGTGCCAAGAGATCGATTCATTCATTCAAGACTTATAAGATTTTGATACATACTACATCTGTGGATAAGCAAATATGGCATCCAAATTTTGAACATGTTGATGTCGTCATCTTTATATTAGTGTGTGTTTCTGTTTCAGATTTTCTGTTTAAGGAAGATGTTCATCTAGGTCAAAGATCTCAGTTCCACATCAACAAAAGATCAGTGTATCTCAGTAACTCCCATAATACAGGTGTGTATCAGCAGGATTAGTGTTATAGACAGAAAGGTGTCAGCAGGATTAGTGTGTAGACAGACAGGTGTCAACAGGATTAGTGTGTAGACGTGAAGGTGTCAGCAGGGTGAGTGTTTAAGACAGATAGGTGTCAGCAGGATTAGTGTGTAGACATGCAGGTGTCAACCGGGTTAGTGTGTAGACATGCAGGTGTCAGCAGGGTTAGTGTGCAGACATAAAGGTGTCGGCAGGGTTAGTGTGTGGTCATGTGGGTGTCAGCAGGATTAGTGTGTAGACATGAAGGTATCAGCAGGATTAGTGTGTAGACATGAAGGTGTCAGAAGGGTTACTGTTACAGACATGTGGGTGTCAGCAGGGTTAGTGTTATAGACAGATAGGTGTCAGCAGGGTTAGTGTGTAGACATGAAGGTGTCAGCAGGGTTAGTGTTTAAGACAGATAGGTGTCAGCAGGATTAGTGTGTAGACAAGAAGGTGTCAGCAGGGTTAGTGTGTAGACATGAAGGTGTCAGCAGGGTTAGTGTGCAGACATAAAGGTGTCGGCAGGGTTAGTGTGTGGTCATGTGGGTGTCAGCAGGATTAGTGTGTAGACATGAAGGTATCAGCAGGATTAGTGTGTAGACATGTGGGTGTCAGTAGGGTTACTGTTACAGACATGTGGGTGTCAGCAGGGTTAGTGTTATAGACAGATAGGTGTCAGCAGGGTTAGTGTGTAGACATGAAGGTGTCAGCAGGGTTAGTGTTTAAGACAGATAGGTGTCAGCAGGATTAGTGTGTAGACAAGAAGGTGTCAGCAGGGTTAGTGTGTAGACATGAAGGTGTCAGCAGGGTTAGTGTGCAGACATGAAGGTGTCAGCAGGGTTAGTGTGTAGACAGGAAGATGTCAGCAGGATTAGTGTGTAGACAGGAAGGTGTCAGCAGGATTAGTGTGTATGGTGTTTATGATCATGGCTTCATATGAATGATCATGGCATCATATGAATGATCATGGCTTCATATGGATGACCATGGCTTCATATGCAGGGATGTGAAATCTCCGCGGAAACGCGGAAAATTGCGTTTTTTAAAACAGTAGTCCTCGGGAAAAAAATCATCTTCCGCGGAAAAAAATATTAAAAATTAAAAAAAAAACACTGCGAAAAATATGATCGAAAACCGGACAATTGGCGCGGATTGTCCTGTTTTCGATCGGAGCTTTCACAGCATAGGTTTTCGGACATCATACGTTTTCTGTCACGAATACTTGCACTATAACGTGGGGCATGGCGTCACACAAAAATTGTAAATACTCAGAGTCAGCTGATGGCTTGTTTTTAAGATAAAGTTGTCTTTTAGCCTGTAAGTGAATGAGATGTTTTACAATTGTTCATGTGATAAGCGAGAAATTTATGAATGTTTCTTCAGCGTCCAAAACCCCATGTCATGGGGATATATATTGTATTAATGTCTTATGTTTGCAATGGAGTTTTGTTTTTTTCATCAAAAGGTAAGTACAAGGTAAGTTTTTTTCAATATGCTTCAACATGAGGAAAGGGTCAGACATTGCACACTTGTGACAGTTGTCCTTGTGTCTGGGGGATGGGGGTTGAAGTTTATGGCAGTATTGCTCCCAGACCTGGCGGGTAGCCAGATGCGCGAAAGCAATGCCCGATTTTTTTAAAGTACTGATTTAACTTCGAAATTTTACTGCATCTGCCATCTTGTTTATTTTACTTATTGACTTTTGCCATTGAACTATTACATTTCTTGGTGTGAATGTTGTCCAAACTGCATGAAATTTCTTAAAATGCAATCAAATGTTTTAAAAAATTCTGGGGGGCATACCCCCAGACCCCCCTAGACTTTTCCTCTTTTATCGGCAAAACCTGCTCACATCCCTGCATATGGATGATCATGGCTTCATATGGATGATCATGGCTTCATATGGATGATCGTGGCATCATATGGATGATCATGGCTACATATGGATGATCATGGCTACATATGGATGATCATGGCTTCATATGGATGATCATGGCATCATATGGATGATCATGGCATCATATGGATGATCATGGCTTCATATGGATGATCATGGCATCATATGGATGATCATGGCATCATATGGATGATCATGGCATCATATGGATGATCATGGCTTCATATGGATGATCATGGCATCATATGGATGATCATGGCTTCATATGGATGATCATGGCTTCATATGGATGATCATGGCATCATATGGATGATCATGGCATCATATGGATGATCATGGCTTCATATGGATGATCAGGGTGATGAATTGTCAGGATGTGTGTGTTACAGTTGACATCATGGGTGCCACAACCAGCAGCCTGGCCGACCTGGCCCAGAACGAGTACCTGATGAGGCTGTCAGGGCGTGACCCCATTGACCCTATGGACCCCTTCTGGAACCAGCTGCTCTCCTTCTCCTTCCTGATCCCTGTCAACAGGTACGCTGCAAGTAGTAACCATTATAACTGAAACATTAGTTCAATTTGAAATTGTTCATTGTATTTTGGAGGGCCTTCCACCACACTGTCAGGTAACTTTTGAAGGAACATTCTAATACTATCTCCCTATCAACTGTTCATACAAGTGGTCACTTAATACTTTATGCTGACAACATATTATTATATGTATGTCTTCAAAAGACCCAATTCAACTCTGTTTACATTTATTCTGCATACAGTGGTTAAACATTTGTTTAAGACGGTTAATGCACAAATGTCGTCTCTTGACAGCTCGGATTCCAAGCTCTTGGAAGATTCAACAGAAAGGATCTGCAGCAACTTTGCCATCAACAACACACACACAGGCAACTTCGGGGCCCTCGTCCACAACTTCTTGGTGCGGGCCGCAGAGTTGAAGGCCTCTGCCCAGTGTGAAGAGTAAGTAGAAGGGGAGACAACTGATGTGAACCCACGATATATCAGAGTTGAAACATATCTTAACTGTGAATCAGTCGTTTATTCAATTGTTTAACACGTTTTACAGTAACATTGACATAGAATAGAACCTAAGAAGTCTCCTCAGAGCAGGCAAACAAGCCTCTGTTTCGACCTTGTCACTATGACCAAACTGTCCAGGTCCGTGACTCCACTTTTTCATTGCCAACCTGCCCTTGTCACGGTGTTCACGATTGTCTGTGTTTGTTAATGATAGACATTGTGAGGTAGCTAAAATTCTGACTCTAGCGTTTGCCTTAGACTCCTTAAAAAGAGGATGTTATTGTTTTTTGTTTTTAAAAATTTAAATAAGTAATTTCATTATGTAAATGTACATTTCAAATATATTTTGAATTCTGTCTAGTCAAAATCATATTTTGTCAAACAAAAAATTATGCACGATTTGAATGAAACACAGTGAGAGTCATCTAAAGCACCTAAGTTCAGTTGCCTTCCACAGTCCATATCATAGTGGGTATGATGCCAGATTCACTAACTGACATACTGCCCAACAGCTGCATGAAACCCATCCCCTCACTCCCCGTGGGATGCAGGATAGCAGGGTACAACACTCCTTGTTTGGAAGGCCAGTGACATCATTATTATGATGGTAATGGCACCTATGAAGTAAGTCCCTTGTGCCGACAGCATGTACAGGGCACACTTTAGAATTATGTCTGAACAATGCTTATCCTGACATGACACACTGCAATTTCCTCCTGGATGTACCGGATATAATCACACAAACATCAGCATATGAAGTAGTATCCTTTCGAAAGGGTATTAGGAGTGGAATTGTTCGTTAAGAACATCAACAAGTCCTGAAATTAGAATAGAGACTCCAAGTTGCATGGACATGTCTGGCACAGTGCATGCTGAGAAGGAAGTGGTGGAATCAGGGCCAGATAACTCCTGTTGGTAACCAAGGGCAGAGGGTGCCCCGGAAGAGGGAGAGGCACATTTTGGGTTCCATGTTATGGGATCCAAGTCCAGAATGAAATAGCAATATTTTTAAACTTATCCTATCTTACACTATGCATTTCTTCTTTTTCTTCGATCTTGGTGTGGAAACATCCTAGAACAAAGTTTCCAGCTTCAAAAAACACCAATCACCCCAACACATCCCATACATCACTAAATCACCACTGTGATCATTGTTCACACACCACTGAAATCCTGTGCGACACGACCCCATTCTCAATTCTATCGCTATGGTGTTCGGGCGTTATACCCGAACAGAGAAGCAGCTCGTGTTAGAGGGACTTGTGCTTAGACGTCGGTTGAGTCCGGTTCCAGCATCTTCAACCTCAGCTGCTTCCAATCCTCATGAGACGAGGGCAGTGACTTCCACCTTGACGTTGCATAGTATTGCACACTCTCAGCCTTCATGGAGGGATGTTTCTGGCATTCTGATTGGTCTTTGCCTCCTACTCTCTTCAGAATCTCAGGTCCAAGGTCATAGCAGCCACACAGCGCAGATGAGGAAGCCTAGCGGATTACAAGTCTCAAGTCAAATACTGCAATAATTTTGGATTTCCCAGGGTATATATGCTTGTCTGTCGTCAATAGAAGCCACCATCCGGTGCGGCCATTTGTTAAATGGTGTCCCAATCTTCTACCTGTTCACCTCTGTCTTTTGCGCATGTGATGTCTCAGTAGTTGATTGGAGACCTGTGTGAAAAACGTGTCTACGTCAATAGAAGCCAACTTCCGCTGTGGCTATTTGTTTAAATGGTGTCCCGATCTTCTACCTGCTACCCTCTGTGTTTTGCACATGTGATGTCTCGGTAGTTGATTGAAGACCTGTGTGAAAAACGGGTATCATCATGCGTTTCCTCTTCTCGTTCTTACCTTATTCAATTTCTATGTCGGTTTGATTGGTTGCCGAAGTGAAAAAAGAGATGCCCAGCTGGTCTGCCTTCCATCCTGGAGCGTATGTGTGAGGTCTGTTTTGTAGAACCTGCTCGCCAGGGACAGGGTGTTTGTACAAAACACCTCCTATCCTGGGTGAGGTTGAAGTCATGACCGAGTAGCTTTCGCCTTGCTTTTAGTTACACGGTCATTTTCATGGTGCATACCGTATTTTCTTGAGTATAGTGCACACTTTTTTTCGAAAAAACACAGCTGTGTAGAAGGGGGTGCGCATTATAGACGAATTATGAGTTTGGATGTTTTTTTCCCCCATGGAAAGACATATTACCGTGAGCACGAAACACCGGAAATACCATGTCAACAAATCCATACTGAAGTACGCAAAATAATCATGTAATTTACACTGTCTGGCTATAAAAAGGGTTTCTTTGTATATCTGGACTTATGTTTGTAACTTATTTCATTAATTTTATTCAAAATTCCTTATAATATTGTTTTTATTAATTTCGGTGAAATCGTGTGTGAAGCGATCGGAAGATCGCACAACTCACCGTTATTAACAGCAACCACGGTCAGAATACCGCCATTGACGCCTTGAAACGAACTTTAGTTGACAGAGAATGGATACATATATCATAAATGACATACTTTGACTCGTTAAAAGTCATAAAAGGCTGCATTTAATTAAGAAAATAATGGAATATATTATTCCTGATAAAAAAAAATAGTTTCAGATACAATTGTTGCCGATCCTTGCATTAAAAATCGTTCAACGAGTTCTACCTGCACAAGCCGCCCAAGTTCAGAATGTTGAGCTTGGCGGACCCGAAAGCTCTGATCATGCCGGCCGACTGGCTCGCTTCGATCAACCTGAAGGATGCTTATCTGCATGTTCCAATTCACTCGGATCATCACAAGTATCTCAGGTTTGTCTTTCAAGGCAGGCACTACGAGTGGGTTGTACTCCCATTCGGTCTTTCATCCGCTCCCTGGCTGTTCACACGGTTAACCACCCCCATAGTGGGGTTCCTCCACCGGAGGGGTGTCCGGTACTTCGCGTACCTGGACGACTCGCTAGTAGCAAATCGAATGACTGACATGCTGTCTCGGCAGCTGGATTTCGCACGTCGGCTTTTGGAGCAGTTGGGGTGGATTGTCAATCTCCCCAAGAGCGAGTTAACCCCCTCTCAGAACTTGCTGTTCATCGGAGGTCGGTTCAACACGGTGACCCATCGCCTCTTTGTCCCCCCAGACCGGTGGCACAAGATTCAGGCGATGATTGCCAAAGTCTTAGCGGTGCAATAGACTGTTCACTTTTGGGAACAGCTGTTAGGGTTACTTGTGTCAGCCCAGGACTGCATCGAACGGGGTCGTCTCCAACTCCGCCCGCTGCAACGTCTTTTAATCCAGTTGTTAGCACAGGAGGTGAACAGTGCGACAGTCGCCCTCCCGGATCGGCTCCGACCGCATCTGGAGTGGTGGACAGTCCCTTACAATGTCTTATCAGGAGTCTCTATGCGGCCCTACCGGGCCATGTTGAACCTGTATACAGACGCCATTCTAGTGGGCTGGGGCACCCATCTAGAGGGGGAGGTGAGCTCGGGGCTGTGGTGCGTAGACGAACTAGGTCTTCACATCAATTGTCTCGAGTTCAAGGCAGTGATCAACGCAGTCAATCACTGGAAGCATCGTCTCTTCGACGCCCGGCTCATGCTGGCGACCGACAACACGACGGTAGTGTCCTATGTGAACAAACTGGGGGGAACCCACAGTCACTCGCTGATACCACACATTCTAAGCCGGCTCTGAGGAGTTCGCTGTCGAATGTTACTGATCGCGCCCATGTGGCCAATCAGATCATGGTACCCCGACTTGCAGGCCCAGGTCATGCAGTCGCCACTTCCACTGCCTGTGAGACTGGATCTCTTGATCCACCCTCACACCCGTCAGCTTCATCCAAACGCAGGGCAGTTCAATCTGCACGCGTGGATGTTGTCATCGAGCATCTGAGGAGTAAAGGTTTTTCTCGTCGGGCGTCTTGGGTTTACGTTAGTATGCATCATGATTCTACCCAGAAGGTGTTATTTTTACGAAGTGGTGTTGTAAACATCACATTCATTCGCCAGATAAGGTATCTGTGCAGGATATTGCTCGTTTCATGTCTCACTTGCGAGAGACCCGGAAACTCTCCGGGGGTTCCATTGCCAACTATGTCTCGTCCGTTGCTACGGTAGGGGACGTTGCTATGGGTACCAGTCTCTCCAAAGAGCCGGTGATACGGGGTATTATCAAGGGTTTCAAACAGCACGATCTTAAGAAGGGCCGCCTTCGTGCACCGGCCTGGGATCTTTCCCTAGTGTTGCAATCGCTTACGGAAGCCCTGTATGAACCCTTGCATAGTGCTTCGTTCCGGCATGTGACTTGGAAAACAACATCCAAGGATCAGAGAATCGTGCAAACGGAGAGAGAATTCACTGTAAGATCACTCAAAGAAATCTTACATCCTGCTGATACTGAGGACAGAGCGCTGTGTCCGGTTAGGGCCCTTAAGTATTATCTTAAGGCTTCGAATGAACATAGACAAGGGCGTGACCGTCTGTTCATATCGTGTAACCCAAATCGCACGGTTGACATAACTCGCAACTCGATTGCGTTGTGGCTTCGTTCTGCCATCAATCTGGCGTACCGGTCTCTGGGGTTACCGGTAGCGGGGTCAAACCCGCACGAGATCAGGGCGCTAGCGGCAACATTTGCCCTACACTCGAATATCTCTGTTCACAGAATATTACGAGGTTGTTACTGGCGTTCTTACTCGGTTTTTGCCAATCATTACCTCAGAAAGGTTTCTGATGAAGACGTGGAGGGGGTGCACCGTCTTGGGCCGCTGATCGTGGCACAAACGGTCATCTAGGGGGTGTGTCCAGCGCAATTCCAAACTCCGCAGTCGTCAGTCCTTGCACGGTGGTCAATCTGGGTCGTCTCCAATGTTCCCACGCCGTGGGTACAGGAGTAGGGGTCCTGCAAACCAGCGCACTCACACCACAGGTGAGGGCGGCTTTTTGTGTGTTTTGTCCTTATTTGTATTTTGACAATTATGCATTTAATTGTCTGTCGTGTATTCCAACCTTGTGATACATGCTTACGAATACTGGAATTAGGTCACGTGCCTATAACATACTTTAAGTAGGCTTGCTCGGGGATATACGGTCTGAATGAAGTTAATTTCCCTCTTTCGACTGTTTAACCTGATCTAAGATTTAGCTCACACGGATACTGTGTTCTCATCTGCTGCGGCGATGAAATACCTATCCAGTGGGGCCGTTTGGAGTCACCAATCGTTTTGGCAATGACGATTGAGCCTTACAGTATGCACTTGACAGTGCTATGGTATTCCTATAGGGTAACGCCTAGCTTGGTGCATGCGCATCGAGTGCTTCCGCCTTGATGTTTACTTCCGCTGGTCGGAAGGAACACTAGCAGTCAGGATTCGGGTTGTAGGTGCTCCCCACCGCCTACTGTGGTAGTCAGCCTCGGTATAACAGTGGTAACGTATTACTTAATGTAATTTGTAGAATTGTCCTATTCGGAATATTCTATAAGTAATATGTTACCACTGGGCTGCTGCCCGCCCGTCCGTCCCCCGAGCACTTGCTCTCGCAAGAGACAAGAGTGAAGGGTGTCACATGGCAGCTAGGTGGCTACGCACGTGCTGCATGAGGTAATTGAGATCTCTGTGGTAGATTTCGCTATAGCAGCAGTTGTGGGAGACAACAGCCTCGGTATAACAGTGGAATAGGAAAATTCTACAAAATTTGCATCATATATGCACTAACGTGTAGAATAGATGCCGACAAAAAATAAATACATTGTACCAAGTTCTTGACAAGAAATATGAAGGCTCTGTAATTGAAATAATAACATCTTACAGTACACTACGTTACCACATTTCATTACTTTACAGTACTCTCATATTTTCTGAGGACCCTTGTAATTAATTATCAGGGGTCCAGGGAGCCCCTGTTTTGTATGTCAAGGTAAACCATGCAAATGTCAGCTGGGAAATATTGATATATTTGTTTTTACAATTCCGTGGTTATTAATTATCTGCATGTTTGTGTCTACAGCAACATCTTCATTTGGCAAACCTACAATGCACTGTTCATCATCCGAAGCTTCTGCAAGTACTTTGTGGAGCATTTGAGTGAAGAGCTTGTGTTACAACAGTTTGACTGCAAGCCCCCCGGGGAGAACGGTGAGTTCAGGGTACACCTTGCTCCCATTTAACATACAGCTGTTTGTCCTGTGTAAACTAGTGATCTCTAACAATATTTAATAACAGTTGATTGCCTTGATTTTACAATAAAATGTCAGCTGTATTTAAGTATTTGAAGTCTAGCTGTATGAAAGGGTGAAAGTTAACTTTGCTATTTATTTTTCTATAAAACCCTTACAGAAGTTACCATGCCTTCAATATCCACACCTACCCCAACATTAATCTTCTGTTTCTTCGCAAGTGTACTCTTTTCATTTTCAAAATGGGTAATGATTGCAATCATGGTTTTGAGAAAATACAAGATGCAGATCTATTGAAATAACTGCCCTAATAAATAACCAGACAGGAGATACGGAAGTCAGGAGATGGTCCTGCTTGATTAATAGTTTTGTATCAACACATTTTTGAGAATGACAAAATGAACTTGTTTCCATCCTGTAGTTGACAGCAACCTTGAAGGCGACATCAATGAAGTGGATCCAACAATTGGGGAACTGGCTGAGAAACTGATGTCATCTCTGGTGGAGCTGTTGGTGGACGTCCCTGTCTTGTGAGTACATAACTGTTGGGTGACGTCCCTGTCTTGTAAGTACATCACTGTTGGGTGACGCCCCTGTCTTGTAAGTACATAACTGTTGGGTGACGCCCCTGTCTTGTAAGTAAATCACTGTTGGTGGACGTCCCTGTCTTGTAAGTACATCACTGTTGGTGGACGTCTCTGTATTTACAACACTGTTGGTGGATGTCCCTGTCTTGTGAGTACATAACTGTTGGGTGATGTCCCTGGATTGCGAGTACATAACTGTTGGTGGACGTCCCTGTCTTGTAAGTACATCACTGTCGGTGGACGTCCCTGTCTTGTAAGTACATCACTGTTGGTGGACGTCCCTGTCTTGTAAGTACATCACTGTTGGTGGACGTCCCTGTCATGTGAGTACATAACTGTTGGGTGACGCCCCTGTCTTGTAAGTACATCACTGTTGGTGGACGTCCCTGTCTTGTAAGTACCTCCCTGTTGGTGGACGTCTCTGTATTTACAATACTGTTGGTGGATGTCCCTGTCTTGTGAGTACATAACTGTTGGGTGATGTCCCTGGATTGCGAGTACATAACTGTTGGTGGATGTCCCTGTCTTGTAAGTACATCACTGTCGGTGGACGTCCCTGTCTTGTAAGTACATCACTGTTGGTGGACGTCCCTGTCTTGTAAGTACATCACTGTTGGTGGACGTCCCTGTCATGTGAGTACATAACTGTTGGGTGACGCCCCTGTCTTGTAAGTACATCACTGTTGGTGGACGTCCCTGTCTTGTAAGTACATCACTGTTGGTGGACGTCTCTGTATTTACAATACTGTTGGTGGATGTCCCTGTCTTGTGAGTACATAACTGTTGGTGGATGTCCCTGTCTTGTGAGTACATAACTGTTGGGTGACGTCCCTGTCTTGTAAGTACATCACTGTTGGTGGATGTCCCTGTCTTGTAAGTACATCACTGTTGGGTGACGTCCCTGTCTTGTAAGTACATCACTGTTGGTGGACGTCCCTGTCATGTGAGTACATAACTGTTGGGTGACATCCCTGTCTTGTAAGTACCTCGCTGTTGGTGGACGTCCCTGTCTTGTGAGTACATAACTGTTGGGTGACATCCCTGTCTTGTAAGTACCTCGCTGTTGGTGGATGTCCCTGTCTTGTGAGTACATAACTGTTGGGTGACATCCCTGTCTTGTAAGTACCTCGCTGTTGGTGGATGTCCCTGTCTTGTGAGTACATAACTGTTGGGTGACGTCCCTGTCTTGTAAGTACATCACTGTTGGTGGATGTCCCTGTCTTGTGAGTACATAACTGTTGGGTGACGTCGCTGTCTTGTAAGTACATCACTGTTGGGTGATGTCCCTGTCTTGTGAGTACATAACTGTTGGTGGATGTCCCTGTCTTGTAAGTACATCACTGTCGGTGGACGTCCCTGTCTTGTGAGTACATAACTGTTGGGTGACGTCCCTGTCTTGTAAGTACATCACTGTTGGTGGATGTCCCTGTCTTGTGAGTACATAACTGTTGGGTGACGTCCCTGTCTTGTGAGTACATAACTGTTGATGGATGTCCCTGTCTTGTAAGTACATCACTGTTGGTGGATGTCCCTGTCTTGTGAGTACATAACTGTTGGTGGACGTCCCTGTCTTGTGAGTACATAACTGTTGGGTGACGTCCCTGTCTTGTGAGTACATAACTGTTGGTTGACGTCCCTTTCTTGTGAGTACATAACTCATGATTAATGATTTGTCTGGTCCAGATGGATGGTTTACAGACGGCCATGATGTGCTGACAGTAACTGTAGTGTAAACCGTTGTTTGTCATAGACATGATAGGAATGATAACTTTCTATACCTATGTATTACAATTGTATGCTTCAGGAACTTCACATACGCATTGCACCTTGAGACGCTGAACACGCTGCTGACACTGCTGTCAATACAGATGTTCCATGCCCAGCCTGCCAGCAAGTTCACTCTGTACAGGTTCATCATGCAGGGCAGGTGGTGAGTTACCTCATCGTGGGTGTCACTCCCAGATTCCCCGGTATTCATCCTTGGTCTCCACACATCATGTAGGGGAGGTGGTGAGTTACCTCATCGTGGGTGTCACTCCCAATTTCCTCGGTTTTCATCCTTGGTCTTCACACATCATGCAGGGCAGGTGGTGAGTTACCTCATCGAGGGTGTTACTCCCAGATTCCCCAGTATTCATCCTTGGTCTCCACACATCATGTAGGGCAGGTGGTGAGTTACCTCATCGTGGGTGTTACTCCCAGATTCCTCGGTATTCATCCTTGGTCTTCACACATCATGCAGGGCAGGTGGTGAGTTACCTCATCATGGGTGTTACTCCCAGATTCCCCGGTATTCATCCTTGGTCTTCACACATCATGCAGGGCAGGTGGTGAGTTACCTCATCGTGGGTGTTACTCCCAGATTCCTCGGTATTCATCCTTGGTCTTCACACATCATGCAGGGCAGGTGGTGAGTTACCTCATCGTGGGTGTTACTCCCAGATTCCTCGGTATTCATCCTTGGTCTTCACACATCATGCAGGGCAGGTGGTGAGTTACCTCATCGTGGGTGTCACTCCTAGATCCTTGGTCTTCACACATCATGCAGGGCAGGTGGTGAGTTACCTCATTGTGGGTGTTACTCCTAGATCCTTGGTCTTCACTGTGTTAATGACCTGGATTCCTGCAGACCTCCCTCCCATCAGAACTGAAAACTGTCAAAACTTACTCACTATCCCCCAAATAATGGAGTTACATGTTGTGTTTCAGTGCAATCCATGCGCCTGTGGTGATCAAAGCTCTGCTGTGGAACTACATCAACCAGGAGAAGTGTCCGTCCGAACTCTACAAGAGTAGCGCCGATGGATCCAATACCTTCTACAACGTCACTGCTGCAGTCGCTTGTGAGTAATGACATAGACAACTTGTACATTCAACTTCTTGAATGCCTGTACACTAAGGATATGTTTTTGAAATGGAAATATGTAAGAATAAATCTGTGAACAAAAAATGTGTCAAGAATTCCACTTTAGCATTTAGGAAGGTTTGAGTGTATGTGGCCAAAAATGGAAAATTTAACCTGAGTTCTCCAACACCTACTAGACATCTCCCTGATAGCTCCCTGATCAAGTCCATGGTAACCCTCTCCCTGCCAGTAAATGTTACATAATCTATTGTGTTACTAGGATGCCATTATGTCCAGTCTCCTGACAACAGTGTTTGTGTTCCAGCCAGTCTGTGGTCCGTGGTGACGCTCGGCATGGGAAGCAGCCCAAAGAAAAAGGAGGAGGAGTTCTCAGAGACGTTGTTAGCCAATCAGAGCCTTTTGTTCCTACTGGTGCTAGCCAATCACTGCACCAGTGACTCCGGCTTGAACAACCCCTACAGAGAGGCATTGTTTGCCTTCACAGACTCACAGGGTACATGAGTGAAATGGTGAAATGGATACTTCAGTAATTATGTTGATCAAGTTTGGTCAATATTTATCAAAAATATTATGATTTATTTGTTTGTTTCCCTCATTCTGCCGACCAGACCGGTTGAGCTGCCATAAGGCATATGACGGCATCATGTCATTTATTTTTCTGTCATTTGTTACATTTGACCAGTTACTAAATGTCATTGTGTGTTCTTACAAACGTAGTGGTGAAATTTCTAGTGTGGTATTATGGACGTTATGTTTCCTACTTGGGATGCTGTATGGCTTGTGTTGACCTGTCAGACTCGAGTCCTGTGTTGGACTCCGCCACATGAAGTCCAGCTGTACTGCTGTATTCGTGGAACGGCCTACCACCTGTTTGAGTACTCTTCCAGGAGAGTGTAGTTAGTGCTGTCTACTTGCAGACACCTCAGCCATGAACCCTGTGATAGCTGGCCCCACATTCAAGATGGACTTGAGTCGTCTGTACTCCACGCTGTGCTCCACCCTGAGAGACGACCAGACCACACTGTTGCTGTACCTTCTCATACACCAGAATACATCCATGAAGGCGTTCATCCTGTCCCGGACCAACATAGACCAGCTGGTCAGTACCATACGGGATACGCCACAACACCCACTTCATGCATGCAATACATTATCTAACATATGAACATGCAGATCTGTCATGTTCCCATGGGTACAAGTGATGCTATTGTGTCATGTTACAGGTGTTGACACTGTTATGTTACAGGTGATGACACTGTTATGTTACAGGTGATGACACTGTTGTGATGTTACAGGTGATGACACTGTTGTGATGTTACAGGTGATGACACTGTTGTGATGTTACAGGTGATGACACTGTTGTTATGTTACAGGTGATGACACTGTTGTGATGTTACAGGTGATGACACTGTTGTCATGTTACAGGTGATGACATTGTTGTCATGTTACAGGTGATGACACTGTTATGTTACAGGTGATGACACTGTTGTCATGTTACAGGTGATGACACTGTTGTGATGTTACAGGTGATGACACTGTTGTGATGTTACAGGTGATGACACTGTTATGTTACAGGTGATGAAACTGTTGTGATGTTACAGGTGATGACACTGTTATGTTACAGGTGATGACACTGTTATGTTACAGGTGATGCCTCTACTTCACATCCTGTACCAGGCCCAGGAGCGCAACTCCCACCACATCTACATGGCTCTCATTATACTGCTTGTACTCAGTGAAGACGAAGTTTTCAACAAAGCTGTTCATGAAATTGTGAGTTACCTGCTTGGCTTACAGCAGATTTATTTAAGGTTTCTCCAGAGTTCCTATGGAATTTGAATAAAAAACAAAACTATGAATTCGGGTGAAAAAAAATCAGATTTTTAGAATATAATATAATTCTTAAAGTGCAAGTATCATGAAAAAATTGTTTTCCTAACAATTTCACATGTCATTTTTTATCATCTCTTTAATGCTAATTTCATGTTCATCAAATTTAATTTTAGTCAAGCATTTGTGATTAAGTATAAAATCTGTAAATTGTGATATATGTTGAGTTTACTTGCCACGAAATGTGTGCAACCGGCTATGACTGCAAAAGGAGGGCAGGCTTGTGCGATCACGCATGTCAGTTTGGAGATCTCCTCCAACAGAGACCATATATGTACAGAAAGTCTCGGCTTCCTCTGTATTTGTGTTTCTGTCTTGGACTTGATAGACAGGACTAAAGTGCATATTAACCTTATTTCACGCCTATGTTTTGAGTACAATATTTGCCTTAACGAAGTTACGATTCTATGAAAACTCAAAAGTAGGATGGAGTTTGGTGCATGTTGTACTTAGGCATTAAAGTAGTAAGGTTCTGAGCAAACTTCCTTGAAGGTCAAGGTCACCGAAATGGTCAGCCGTGACTACTTCTCCATGTACTGAGCCAACCCCCTGTGTTGATACAGCAAGTTTGTGAGAGGCTAGAGACTCTGTTTAAAGAGTTCCACACCAAAATGACCAACACACTGCTATATTTTCAGAATCTGAAGAACATCCTGTGGTTCAAGGAACGGCCGCTGACCGAGATTTCACTGGGAGGGCTTCTCATCCTGGTTGTCATACGGACAGTCCAGTTCAACATGACACGCATGAGGGTGAGTATGTGAACACCTCTCATCTACCACCTGCCTGCCTTAGGGTGTTTCCAGACCTGCTCAGTAATCACTGGTGGAGATTCCAGTCAATCATGCACAATAACATACTGGAGAATAAGCTGGCACATGGGAGATAATCAGGTAATGCAGGTTTCTATTGCCTCCCTTTGATTGCTAGACACAGAGCCGTACCATTTTCCAGCAGACAGTGTTAATACACTTTTGAATTCTTATACACCTGCTAACAGTGTCATGAAGAGCTTTCTGTCACAAGCACTGATTGACCAAGTTGGAAGTCAAAATTTAAGCGCTGCAACTGATTGGTTTATTTTAGTGAATATCTATAGAAGTTTTGCAGAGGATATTATCACATAGAAACGGGTCCGATCTGTAACATTCCGTTTCTAGAGCATATCTCATAAACAATTCAATATTTCGTGATGCAACTTTGAAGCACGTCAGATCTGATACAACCCTGGTTGGAGCCTGGTTTCAAACAGGTCCACCACTTAGTTGGGGTGCGACGTCGTATCCTGACAGAGTGGGACGTTGATCATAAGGCAGTGCACAAGCAACCAAACAAACATACCTCATGTTTAATTGTCTTGCTATTTTGTTATATAACTGTTTTTAGAGTTTTGAGTTTTGTTATGTAACATCTCTATCAAAACCAAAGCTCTGCCTCCTGAGTAGTACCATGGACACTTCCCCTTGGAAGATAGAGAAGAAATTGAAGAACAGAGGGAATCCGTGGATTTAGTACTCCATCTTTGCGGCAATTGTACTCACATGTTTTAGTATACCATTTTTTGGTCTAATGACTGATAATGAGATATATGATATACCTTTTGGAGATTTTATGCACATATTTAAGAAGTCAAAATGAAAAGATAACTGAGTTGTATTTGTTAGTGAAAACTGTAAGTTTAGGGCCGAGTGGTAGCTGTTGTTAAAGCTGCATCGTTGCTGTCTACTTGCTCCATGTTGTGTGTCTGTCTGTCTCTCCAGGACAAGTACCTGCACACTAATTGCCTGGCAGCCCTGGCCAACATGTCCTCCCAGTTTGCCAACCTCCACCAGTTTGTTGCACAGAAGATTGTCAGGTATGTTCTCTTAATATACTTCTGTGGGGATTCTGGGTGAGCATAGTTCCCCAGCAATCTGTATGTTTGTCATGTTAGACAACTGAATGGATCTTGTGGTTATGCTCAGTTTATTATATACTTCCGAAGTTGAGAAAAGTGATATTTTTATTGCAGTGAACATAATGCTTGATATTTCACTGCAGTGAAAGTAACTTTGACAGAACTATTGTTATGCAAGAGTTACCTCCCCTCAAATTGACACCCTTTATCTTGTCTATCCAGTACACATGTTGATGTCCTTTTTATACCCCCGTTTACGAAGTAAATCGGGGGTATATAGCGTTCCGTTCGTCCGTCCTTCCGCCCGAGCTTTTGTACAGCCCATAACTTTTTAACCATGCACCCTAGCTTCACCAAACTTGCTACACACATTTACCACAATGAGAACTTGTGCCTTTTGCTAGTTTGAAGATTCTGATTTTTTTTATTTTTGCCGTTTCCATGGAAACATTAGAAACTTGAACTTTTAGGGTGGGTGTTTTGTACAGCCTATATCTTTTTAACTATGCACCCTAGCTTCACCAAACTTTCTACACACATTAACCATAATAAGTACTTGTGCCTTTTGCTAGTTTGAATATTCTGAATTCTTTAATTTTTGCCGTTTCCATGGAAGCATTAGAAACTTAAACTTTTAGGGTGGGTGTTTTGTACGGCCCATAACTTTTTAACCATGCACCCTAGCTTCACCAAACTTGCTACACACATTTACCACAATGAGAACTTGTGCCTTTTGCTAGTTTGAAGATTCTGATTTTTTTTATTTTTGCCGTTTCCATGGAAACATTAGAAACTTAAACTTTTAGGGTGGGTGTTTTGTACAGCCTATATCTTTTTAACTATGCACCGTAGCTTCACCAAACTTTCTACACACATTAACCACAATAAGTACTTGTGCCTTTTGCTAGTTTGAAGATTCTGAATTCTTTAATTTTTGCCGTTTCCATGGAAGCATTAGAAACTTAAACTTTTAGGGTGGGTGTTTTGTACGGCCCATAACTTTTTAACCATGCACCCTAGCTTCACCAAACTTGCTACACACATTTACCACAATGAGTACTTGAGCCTTTTGCTTGTTTGAAGATTCTGAATTTTTTTATTTTTGCCGTTTCCATGGAATCATGGTGAACATGGTGAAACATAAATTTTGGGTAGAGTTTTTGTACGATCCATGTTTACAATATTATGTATTCTAGCTTCCGCAAACTTGCTACATTAACCGCTATGATTGTATTTTATCTTTTATCACATTCTGAAAGCTTTGTCTTTTGCTGTTTTCTTGGAAACATGATGGAATTTAGAAATTTGATGACTGGTTTTGTATAGCTAATATATTTTCAAAAATTGCTTCCACACATGTAGATCATCATAAGTATCTGTGCTTTGTGATAGTTTGAATTTATGAATTCATTACCATACCTGTTAAGGCTAGATGGAAATTATTAATTTATTGATTTTCTTAAATGATATTGTTCCATTTCTTATGTGTTTTTATATCAACAATTTTTGGTCCTTTTCATAATTCTTCTTATAACTCCTCAATCAAATTTTTATTCAAAGGTGTTCATGGTGATCTACTTCCTCGTAGTGAACACTGGTAACATGGGAGATTGGGGGGGGGGGGGGGGGGGGCAATTGTCACTGGAACTCAATCTTAGTTTTTAGATCATTGAAGTTAAAATCAGTTAGAAATATGTAATATTTTGTTAATTAACAAACTATTTACTACTTCTTGTTGTCCAGCGGGGATAATGGGGGTATGTGAGCTTTGCTCACTTCTTTCTTGTTACATTAGTTCTGCACTGACAAGGCAAAATAATGACAGATGGTCATTTATGGAGTTAATATCGCTTCTTGCTGTTTGTTCTTCTCTCGGAAATGTTTCTACAACAACTGTTAATTTCTCATTTGACCCATCAATCAAGACTGTTAGTTTTGCAAAGTGTCATTTTTGTTACTTGACCATCGTGTATTCCTTCATTTCCCACAGCATCTCGTAGCTTTCAAGAATATTATTTTTAAGTTCATTTTGTACATTATCCTATCCAAATGTATGATAAAGAATTTTCGTGACCCTAAATATTTTTTGAGACTTTGGTTTTGCAAACTCAAATACTTTTGAAGGGGTGGTGAAATGTTCCTTTGTGTTAGGAAGGGAGAATTCACAGGTTTTACATTTGTAATGAAAAAAAATAATTCCAGTAGAAAACGACACAAAAAGTATATAATAAATAGGATAGATATTCCATGTGTCGAGTGAAATATCTTCCATGACTTGGATTGTACCATGACTGCATGGGACGTTGCTCACAGGATTATCTGGTCCAGACTGATTATTTACAGGCTGCCATCATGTGGTGGGTATATTGCTGAGTGTGGCATAACAACATCACGACTTTTTATCCCCCCCAGCATATAATGCCTCCGTAATCATTTCGTTTCTGGAGCACAACTCGAAAGCCATTGTCATCGGGTGTCATGGAGTGTGTTGTGTTGCAGCCTGTTTGCCCAGCTGTGTAAGAAGCACAGTCGCCTGGTGGAGCAGATCAGACAGGTGGGGGCCGGGGAGGTCGAGCAGGGTGACGATGAAGACTCAGAACAGGTCTTTGTGAGTACTTCAACCTCTAGGCATGACACCTGTAAACACAAGCTCATGCTGCCATATGGGTAGGGTAATACCATGGCTAGTCATGCAGGTTGTTGCTTTTCAGAAATACTTTGTAAGAAATTTGAATTTATAATCTTGTGATCGTTAACTTAACCATAATTTGACTCAGTTGCGACATTATTGTCAATTGGTATTCACATTAAAATTGATTTTTATCAATGTTTATTCAGCTAACATTATGTTAATGTGCTATTCAATCAAACATTTTGATATTGATCTGCTGCTTGATGTGTTGATACTTATCAAATTATTCCAATATCATTCAGCCAAGGCTGTTGGACATTGTTTTATTTGAGCAGGACTCGATTGACCATGACTTTTAGACCTGATTTATCTTGACCTATTGACTTGACCATTACTGACCTGGTGACCTTGACCCATACTAACCTGGTGACCTATACTGACCTTGTGACTTCTATGTTGCAGATGCAGGACATGACAGCCCTGCAGGAAGTGATCCGGATGGTGTTGGAGATCCTCAACTCCTGCCTCACAACCTCCCTCCACCACAACCCCAACCTCATCTACACCCTCCTCTACAACCGCAACCTGTTCGACCAGTTCCACACCCACCCAATCTTCCAGGACATCATCCAGAACATTGACACAGTCAGTACAGTGTATTGATACTTGAAATTCATCAGGAACATTGACACAGTCAGTACAGTGTATTTAACTCTAGGCTGAAGTGTGACCTGAAACAGCTGTAAAGGCTGCTTACTGTATACAGACTCCTGTGGTCTAGCTGTAGGCTGCCTTCAGTGTACAGACTGTGTGATCTAGGTGTAGGCTGCCTACAGTATACAGACTGTGTGATCTAGGTGTAGGCGGCCTACTGTATACAGACTGTGATCTAGCTGTAGGCTGTCTACTGTATACAGACTGTGATCTAGCTGTAGGCTGCCTACTGTATACAGACTGTGGTCTAGCTGTAGGCTGCCTACTGTATACAGAAGGTGATCTAGCTGTAGGTGGCCTACAGTATACAGACTGTGTGATCTAGCTTTATGCTGCCTACTTTATACAGACTGTGTGGTCTAGGTGAGGCTGCCTACTGTATACAGACTGTGGTCTAGCTGTAGGCTGCCTACTTTATACAGACTGTGTGATCTAGCCGTAGACTGCCTACTGTATACAGACTGTCTGATGTAGCTCTTGGCTGCCTACTGTATACAGACTGTGTGATCTAGCTATGGGCTGCCTACTGTATACAGTCTGTGATCTAGCTGTAGGCTGCCTACTGTATACAGACTGTGATCTAGCTGTAGGCTGCCTACTGTATACAGACTGTGTGATCTAGCTATGGGCTGCCTACTGTATACAGACTGTGATCTAGCTGTAGGCTGCCTACTGTATACAGACTGTGATCTAGCTGTAGGCTGCCTACAGTATACAGACTATGGTCTAGCTGTAGGCTGCCTACAGTATACAGACTGTGTGATCTAGCTGTAGGCTGCCTACTGTATACAGACTGTGTGATCTAGCTATGGGCTGCCTACTGTATACAGACTGTGTGATCTAGCTTTAGACTGCCTACTGTATACAGACTGTGTGATCTAGCTTTAGACTGCCTACTGTATACAGACTGTGTGATGTAGCTATGGGCTGCCTACTGTATACAGTCTGTGATGTAGCTATATGTGGCCTACTGTATACAGACTATGGTCTAGCTGTAGGCTGCCTACTGTATACAGACTGTGTGATCTAGCTATGGGCTGCCTACTGTATACAGACTGTGTGATCTAGCTTTAGACTGCCTACTGTATACAGACTGTGTGATCTAGCTATGGGCTGCCTACTGTATACAGTCTGTGATGTAGCTATATGTGGCCTACTGTATACAGACTGTGATCTAGCTGTAGGCTGCCTACAGTATACAGACTATGGTCTAGCTGTAGGCTGCCTACAGTATACAGACTGTGTGATCTAGCTGTAGGCTGCCTACTGTATACAGACTGTGTGATCTAGCTGTAGACTGCCTACTGTATACAGACTGTGTGATCTAGCTATGGGCTGCCTACTGTATACAGTCTGTGATGTAGCTATATGTGGCCTACTGTATACAGACTATGGTCTAGCTTTAGGCTGCCTACTGTATACAGACTGTGTGATCTAGCTATGGGCTGCCTACTGTATACAGACTGTGTGATCTAGCTTTAGACTGCCTACTGTATACAGACTGTGTGATCTAGCTTTAGACTGCCTACTGTATACAGATGTGTGATCTAGCTATGGGCTGCCTACTGTATACAGTCTGTGATGTAGCTATATGTGGCCTACTGTATACAGACTGTGATCTAGCTGTAGGCTGCCTACAGTATACAGACTATGGTCTAGCTGTAGGCTGCCTACAGTATACAGACTGTGTGATCTAGCTGTAGGCTGCCTACTGTATACAGACTGTGTGATCTAGCCGTAGACTGCCTACTGTATACAGACTGTGTGATCTAGCTATGGGCTGCCTACTGTATACAGTCTGTGATGTAGCTATATGTGGCCTACTGTATACAGACTGTGATCTAGCTGTAGGTGGCCTACTGTATACAGACTATGGTCTAGCTGTAATGGTTGCCTACTGTTGCAGGTGTTGTCCTTCTTCTCATCGAGGCTGGAGCAGAACGGGAAGAACCTTTCCCCAGCCGATGTCCTGGAGTCCATCAAGGAGGGGGCACTGCAGTTCCGCCGGGACAGACTGAAGGTAGTAGTGTATAGCTGTTGCAAGACTCTAAGAGTTTTGATTCAACAGTTACAGTTGGAACGTTAAGGGGTCATCATGCCCCATGGACCAAACCCTACTCACACGCTCACTCACTCACTCAGCTGATTCAATTATTCATACAACCGGTTCAACAAAAAATTACACAATTGCTATACATTAATTTAGCTAGCATGAGTTCTTCAACTTTTTATATGACACTCCTCTATATCATGACCAAATTTGAAAGATATCTTCAGGACCGCCTGCGTGGTCTATTGGCTAAACGGACTGCCTGGAGACCGCCTCTGTGGTGTAGTGGATAAACCGTCTGCCCGGAGTTTGGATACACCATCTGCCTGGAGTTCAGCTCTGTGGTCTTGTTGATAAACTGTCTGCCCAGAGACCGCCTCTGTGGTTTAGTGGATAAACTGTCTGCCCGGTGTTTGCATCTGTGGTCTAGTGGATAAACTGTCTGCCCGGTGTTTGCATCTGTGGTCTAGTGGATAAACTGTCTGCCCGGTGTTTGCATCTGTGGTCTAGTGGATAAACTGTCTGCCCGGTGTTTGCATCTGTGGTTTAGTGGATAAACTGTCTGCCCGGTGTTTGCATCTGTGGTCTAGTGGATAAACTGTCTGCCCGGTGTTTGCATCTGTGGTCTAGTGGATAAACTGTCTGCCCGGTGTTTGCATCTGTGGTCTAGTGGATAAACTGTCTGCCCGGTGTTTGCATCTGTGGTTTAGTGGATAAACTGTCTGCCCGGTGTTTGCATCTGTGGTCTAGTGGATAAACTGTCTGCCCGGTGTTTGCATCTGTGGTCTAGTGGATAAACCATCTGCCTGGAGAGTGGAAGGTTGGTGGTTCAGTCCCTGGCCGCACCATACCAAAAGATGGTACCTGTTGTTTCCATGTCTGGCGGTCTGTATTAAGGTGATAAAACAAAGACTGTGTCTGAGTGGAATATCCATGTTCAACTGTGGCTTGGTGTCTAGTACATACAGATACATCCATGCAGGCTCGCACACCTTAAATAAGTACTCGATACCTGAAGGGCACACTTAGATATATTGTTTTAACAAATATACCTTTTCACCTTGTGCAGTGTATAAAACCTCTGATAAATGTACTTTTGAACTGTTGCATGGAGCAACACGTGGACATGAGAAGCCATGGGAGCATGCTTAATGCATTGTATGATTCATGATATAAACCTGCAGATTCCGACTTTGAAATGGACATTATCAATCCCAGTGAAAGAGAAAGGGCAGTCATTACGACTGCTAATCCAACTAGAAGATGGCTTAAAAGTATTTCTTCTTTTTGGCACACTTAAGATAAAAAAAGACACATCTAAACAAAATTCCATTCCTGTCCCTATATGTAAAAGTGGCATTTCAGAAACTGTAGCATCAATGAAAACAGAGCTGACGTCTTTATTCTTTCAATGCTTGATGAAGGTTCCAGCATCTGTACCGAAATGTGGCAGTGATAGACTAGAGATGTTGACATCCATGACTCCACCTTGTGTTCATCCCTCTTCCTGTTATGTCTGCAGAAGTTCCCAGAGCTAAAGTTCAAGTATGTGGAAGAGGATTCTCCGGAGGAGTTCTTCATCCCCTACATCTGGTCCCTCGTCTACCACTCCTCCAACATGTACTTCAACGCCGCACGCATCGTACTCTTCTCCCTCTCCGCCAACGCAGAGTCCTGAGACCAGCAGCACTACAACAGTGGACACAGCCTCCCAGTCTGGTGATGTCAGTGCCGCTGCCGCCTCCGCCGCCGCCGCATCCCTTGTGAGAAGTCATAGCTGATATGTCTCACTCATTTTGGAATCTTTTAGATTTTGAAATCTCAATATTATTGTGTATTTGGAATATGACATAGGAAGTAAAAATCACATTAGAGGAAATTTAATTTGAAGCATGTAGCTTATATGAAATGAACCACAGCTGTAGAATGATGTTGATGGAAGTTTATTTCCATCAGATGAATACACTTTTTAAGATTTTCAGCTGGTCTTCTGGTAGAGGTTTCAGTAACTTACAGACGACTGTGGACGAGACTCTGGTATCAGACTTGTGGGAAGCGATGAGGTTCACAATACTTTCATGTTTCACGGCACACAATTTAGGCACAAATATAGACATAAAAAGTCACATGTTGAACACACGTATGTTGAGTATATTTTTGGTTACAATGGACGACCACAAAGTTTTAAAACAAATTCAGCAAAAAATGGAAAAGATTTTGAAAAAAATATAAATGCCAACGAAAATTATGACAAAGATTTCTCATGGTATTTTTTTTTTGTTCCATTCACTTTATGTGTCAACTTCAGCCTGTGACTGTTTTGTGCAAAATAGCTTTCCTGTGTATTGTTTTCACAAAAGAGGCAATTATGCATAATTCTGCAAAATATGTAATTATGGTGTCTGCAAATGTTTCGTGATCACAGAAACACAATCCTTCATGGACTGATAAATAGGATTGTTGCATTCTGTGTATGCTGTGCCTTGATGAGAGCTTGTCATCTGAAGAACTAACACTGTAAGGACTGGCAGTTGAAGTCCAGGAACCAAAGACTGCTCCTAGGGGACACTGCATCTGTGTGTTGTGGGGAGGTGTGTACACAGACATCTGGCATCAGGCAGGAACACTGGAGGCGGACGTTGTGGTTAGGAGCAAGTTCGTTGCCGTGGATACAGCATTCCCTTGTCTCCTTACTGTAATTGCATCAGGATGTAACGTCCAGACTGAGTTGGGAACTACTTGTCAGTGTCACAGCGGATGTTGTGCTTACATTGGCTGTATTCTGGCTTTAAAGGAACAGAACGTAGTTGTGGGATTAAAGATGGTTGATGTTATGGGTGTTAAATCTTCATATATGTATATGTTTGTTCAAGTGGTTTTATAGATCAGGTTTTACCTGTTCAAGGGAGGTAACTAATCTAAAACTTGACAGTGGTTCATCTTTGTTTTTACTGAGGTTTTATGCTGAGCTGTTAACATTGTTTTCTTTGTTTTGTTAGCATTCGTCAACAACTATATTGTCACAGGCATTTGTTAAATAAAAAGTCTTTAAGCTACAAGCTTCACCTGTGCCAGAAACCTATGGTTGTGTTCATAAAGACTGCTGGTTTGTCAGCTTGGAATCCATGCTGACAGTTTCCCCAGGGTACAACACCTCACACCGGCATCAGTTGGAGCTTTCCTTCAATATAAGGCTGAAATATTGGGCAAAGCGACGTTAAACCCAACTCACTTACCGTAGTTGACATGTCAATCCTTCTAAACATCACTAAATTATATGACATGTGTAGTTTTAAGTTGATTTACAAGTTATTTCATAAATTATGATCATAACATTCATATATGTGGTTTCATTTGCTGATAAGATAGATTGACCTTTTGTTTCTCATCATTACCTCACTAACCTGTTGTCTTCTTTCAGTTTACTCTCTAACACATTCTTAGAGGTTCCCAATCAATCGCTTCAAGTGTACTCTCTAACACATTCTTAGAGGTTCCCAATCAATCGCTTCAAGTGTACTCTCTAACACATTCTTAGAGGTTCCCAATCAATCGCTTCAAGTGTACTCTCTAACACATTCTTAGAGGTTCCCAATCAATCGCTTCAAGTGTACTCTCTAACACATTCTTAGAGGTTCCCAATCAATCGCTTCAAGTGTACTCTCTAACACATTCTTAGAGGTTCCCAATCAATCGCTTCAAGTGAAGTACAAACCTGGAATATTTCTTTCAAGAGATCTTGTTGAGTGGAATTTAGTGCATGTGTACTTACATTGTGCACAGGTTGGAGACACGATGGGGTTGTCCTTGTTATCATTTGTCACACGCCTGATTGAGCATTTGTTGTCATCCTCCTCCTCATGTATTGTTAACTTGTTATCTGAACTGACACACCCGAGTTAAAGACATAACAGGATAGTCACCTATTCTAGTCTTGACCTTCACTTTTATTAATATTCTAGTAATATATGTAGTCTCATCCTAAAGATGAGTCATCGTGTGATAGCCTGTTTTATTAGAGTGGAATTCTACAAGCATTGGGATGTTGATGAAGCAGTTGTCAGTCTGTCACTGGAGATGTGGGAGAGTTTGCTTGGGCCAGATCACTTCATTTCTTGTTTCCTAGCTGCAGATGCAGAGAACACAAAAATATAGAAATGTTGCTTAGGATGAAAACTGATCAATGGTACAATTTATATGTGTGATGTGATTCCATTATAGCGTGAAAGTTCAGATGACAAGTTGGATGCGTATTTATAGCAATGAATGTGATATGTAGCCAAACAGTTATTTTTTTGTACTGTACATAATTATTTTGACAGCTTGTAGAACAACACTGGAGATTTGTAAATACTTGTAGCACACCTATATACTGACTTCAGCCAGACACATAACACATTCGCATGTGTCATGTATAACAGACACGTTTGTGACACTCACACGTGTCTTACGGTGACATGTCACAACACTCCTCGTCAGTAATCGTCATGTGATTCTCAACTTGTTGTACATATTGGTAGGAGATTTTTATCAACAATTAACTAACAATTATTGATTACTTGTGAATATGTAGTGAAACATGACTGACTGTTGATGTTGAGACCAGACTGTTATGTAGAGTGACGGGTGATTGACGCGGATGGGTGACTGTACATAGCAACAGGTGGTGTTACCATGGTTACCAATATATCTACTGTATATAAACACTGGTGTATATATTTCCTAAGGGGCTGCTTCGTGTTCTACGCTGTGGGTAGTCACATACAGGTGTTCTCTCCGCCTCATATCACGGGACTTGCAGCCTTCACTCATCCCAGCAGAACCAGTTTACCATCTACAGCATCTCTCACTGATTCAGCGCTTTGTTCAGAGGATTTATGTCAGGGGATTTAGCTCAGTCATATGATATATTAAGGATGTTAATATCTTTCAGAAATTTGTTTCAACTTATATTGTGTGCTGGTATATTTTGCACAGTGGCAATTTTCTACTATCCTGTGGTATCTTATTTCAATATTTTCAAGTTTTTAATGATATGGTACTCTTTGTGGATCATAGCGTCTTGGCAGGAACTTCATTGTCCAATGAAACTTATGTTAAGTGTTATTTGTTGATGTAAACATGAAATGAAACGCTGATCTAGGGTTTGGTTGTGCAGTTGCCAGCTGTTGTTACAGCGACCTGCTACAGAGGTGTTACAGTGCTGTGTTACAGTGTGTTTCTGTCCAGCTTTGGAAAAGTTTTTTTTGTTGTGGTAAAATACACTTTGTCCATGCGGTTTATCAAAGATTTCATTTTTAGCTCACCTGACTGAAAGGCAAGTGAGCTGATGTTATGGCCTGCTTGGCAGTCTTCTGGTGGCAGCAGTGTCTGTAAACATTATCTCCTGTATGGGACCAGTGAAGCTGATGTTATGGCCTGCTTGGCAGTCTCCTGGTGGCAGCAGTGTCTGTAAACATTATCTCCTGTATAGGACCAGTGAAGCTGATGTTATGGCCTGCTTGGCAGTCTCCTGGTGGCAGCAGTGTCTGTAAACATTATCTCCTGTATGGGACCAGTGAAGCTGATGTTATGGCCTGCTTGGCAATCTCCTGGTGGCAGCAGTGTCTGTAAACATTATCTCCTGTATGGGACCAGTGAAGCTGATGTTATGGCCTGCTTGGCAGTCTCCTGGTGGCAGCAGTGTCTGTAAACATTATCTCCTGTATAGGACCAGTGAAGCTGATGTTATGGCCTGCTTGGCAGTCTCCTGGTGGCAGCAGTGTCTGTAAACATTATCTCCTGTATGGGACCAGTGAAGCTGATGTTATGGCCTGCTTGGCAGTCTCCTGGTGGCAGCAGTGTCTGTAAACATTATCTCCTGTATAGGACCAGTGAAGCTGATGTTATGGCCTGCTTGGCAGTCTTCTGGTGGCAGCAGTGTCTGTAAACAATATCTCCTGTATAGGACCAGTGAAGCTGAGTCTTCACATACTTTTCCCCATTATTGAGGGCACCACAATCTGTTCCTGAGGTTGGAGGAATCTGACTTTCAATGTGGCTTGTGGCTGCCATGGTTGCCTTTGTTGACATTTTAGACATGACTGTTAAACTGCTATAGGTGAGCTACAGAGCTAAGGCTTGGGTTTGATGTGGCAAGTTGGAAATTCCTAAATATGATACATTTTAATTTCCACTGTGCAAAGATGTCAGCTGTTAAACATGTAGGACACTAACAGCACCTGGATCAACTAAAAACAGATTCATGGAATAAATGATATGACTAACGTCAAAGATGTAGCAGTGCATATACTGCCAGGGACCAGTCTGTATTTAGATTGTATACTTTGTCCCAGAGCATGACCTCTTCACTTCACTGTGAGGGACATGGCAATTAAAAGTACTTGTTCAAAATGTAATGTTTAGTTGAACTGTTTCTCTTAAATATTACCCCTAATTCCGAGGGGCTTTAGAAACAACTCTCAGTGTGTGTGAGGCTGTGAGAGTCTTACTTCCCAGTATAAGTCAGTATGTGTGTGTGGTTCACACATGTTGCAGCCATGGGGCCCTTTCCTAGAAGCGAACTCCGTATTACACCTGTCTCAAGTCTCATACCTAATGTAGATGATGAACAGTTGTAGCACTGAGCTCACTTTGTGGAGCAGGTTCCTGGTACAGTGCCTGTATAGATAACACATGGTCTTACCTTGCATCAGTTTTGTGGTTAACCCTGACAGTTGTTGACTGGGATATAATTATTGCTGGATAAACTGAGGGTCTTGTGAATTATAGACATTACAAAATGTATAATTTCTGTCTGTGACTGAAGCAAGAATATTTTATTAAAATATTGCATTTTATGAAGTTTATCTCATAATTATTGTTGAATGACATATTTCCATCATGAAAGATGGTATTTAAATGGTATTTCGTACATAAAAAATATAAACTGCATTTGAGTTTGTTGTTGAAGTCTTTGATGGGAACCAGTCTGTGAGGTGAGTATGTTGTCTACATTTACCTGTGGTGAGCATCACAAAAGGATTCCCTTTACACCAATCCTACTCCTTATTTGCCCTCTGCTGTGAAGATTCTGAGTAGACTTGGCTGACTGCGTGCCACTGATGCTGCTCACAGTATCAATCACCCATGGGGATTCAGGGTTAGAATTGGTCCCCAGGAATCTTTGCTGTCATAAGAGGCAACCAAATGGATCAGGTGGTCAGGCTAGGTGATTTGGTTGATAGCGAGGCCTCGTACCCTGATGTCGTAGATCATTGCTCACAATATCGATCACTGGATTGTCAGGTTCAGACTCCATTATCAGTCATGCCATCGCCATATAACTAGGCTGTTACTTGGTTCTGACAGCAGTGTTACACAAATAACGAACAAAAGCAATATCAATCACTGGTTAGCCTCTTCAAGACTTGATTTACAGAAGGGTACATCATTAAGGATAATCTTGTATTTCTCATGTCATAACATGGGGATACAATGGGAGACTTTGTGTGTGTGTGTGTTTACTCACACAAAATAACAAATCCCTGACCCCCCACACCCCCCACACCACACACACACCCAAAACATGTTACAAAAAATGTTACCTACCATGATAACATGTTAATTTGGATGTTAAAGTAAAAGCAGTAACAAGTACATAAAGTGTTTGTTTGGAGTGCACCTTTGAACCTACGCTGTGGCTCAGCAGCCTTTGCAAGTTGAGAGGTGTGAGAAGAGGCATTGTCATGAAGTAGTAGAACTTCAGCAGTCACCATTCCTTGCCGCTTTTCTTTGATAGAATATCACAGGTGATGAAGCAAAACAGCATAGTGGGCACTCGTAATCATCTTTTGACTTTCTAAGTAATCAACAAGTATCACACACTTTACATCCCAGAATACAGTGGTCATAACTTTCTTCACTGATCTTGAAGACTTGAATTTCTTTGGTGCTGAAGAAGTGAAATGGTGCCATTACATGGATTGAAGTTTTGACTCGGGGAGCATGGTGGTAGACCCATGTTTCATCACCCGTTCCTAATCTCTTTTTAAATTTGACGAAATCCTCCTCGTTAAGCTCTAAATTTTCTCTGGCAAGATCAGAATTTGGAATCTTTGGCACCCAACGAGCACATATTTTATTCATCTGTAAATGTTCATGAATAATAATTCAATTGATCCATGGCTTGTACCTGTCTTCCTCAAGTTCAGCAAAGGTAATACGTCTATATGACAGTATAAGTATCTCCTTAATTGAATCTTCATTGATGGGTCATCATCAAGGCTTGTTTGTTCTCCCAGCCTTAAACAGTTCACTTTGTTGTGGCCCATAGTTGAAAGTTTGTCAGGTTTAGAACTTTTTGACCAGCCGGTAGTATATGTTAGGTGTGAATATACACAGGGATAGACAGCATGTAACGATTGGGTATGAATTTACACAAAGTCAGCCAGGCTATAACTGTTAGGTATGGACATACACCAGGACAGCCACCATGTAACGGGTGGGTATAAATTTACACCAGGGCAGCCATGGTATAACGCTTGGTGTATGGATTTACACAACGGACACTCTAAAACTGTTAGGATATGAATTTACAGCCGGACAGCTAGCCTATAATTGTTAGGTGTTAATTTACTCAAGGACGATAGCATATAACTGTTAGGTGTAGATTTACACCAGGGCAACCAGCATAACATTCCTTCGTATACCCTTCCTCATTACATCATAGTCATAAATTCCAGTTGGGGTTGTCATCAGACGTCCTCTTCACTGCCAACGTATCTCATACATGGTTCACCCTTCAGAGTCAGTACCCACTCAAGACATGGTCTATATAGGGGCAAAATTCCAGCTCAACAAGGGTATGCTAGCGCCACTAGAGAACACATACGCAAGGTCAAGAGACATGATCATCAGGTTGCGCCGTTAGTGGATGTCATGTCTTGGCACGCTCACATCCCTCCAGGATATAACCTATAGAGGCTAGTAGCAGTTACATCCCTTGATGTCCCTACGAGAGATCTAGATTTAGATGCACTAACGCAACCTCTACCAGCTCAGCTGTCAGAATTAATCTGGTGGCTACTAAGTCATACACCTACATAGCTACACCTCTCATATTTCCACCACTTCCACATAACACCCACAGGGATGCGTCAGACGATGGGTAGGTGCTCAAATGGACGACGTCACAGTACAGGGAAATGGCCCTCCCAAGACATGAAGTAGCACATCAACTGTCTGAAAGCCCAGTGTCAGCCCAGTACCAGGCTAGCCCTCCAACAACAGCCTACCTGTGTACGTCAGCCCAGTACCAGACTAGCCCTCCAACAACAGCCTACCTGTGTACGTCAGCCCAGTACCAGACTAGCCCTCCAACAACAGCCTACCTGTGTACGTCAGCCCAGTATCAGACTAGCCCTCCAACAACAGCCTACCTGTGTACGTCAGCCCAGTTCCAGACTAGCCCTCCAACAACAGCCTACCTGTGTACGTCAGCCCAGTACCAGACTAGCCCTCCAACAACAGCCTACCTGTGTACGTCAGCCCAGTATCAGACTAGCCCTCCAACAACAGCCTACCTGTGTACGTCAGCCCAGTACCGGACTAGCCCTCCAACAACAGCCTACCTGTGTACGTCAGCCCAGTACCGGACTAGCCCTCCAACAACAACCTACCTGTGTACGTCAGCCAAGTATCAGACTAGCCCTCCAAAAACAGCCTACCTGTGTACGTCAGCCAAGTATCAGACGCCCTCCAACAACAGCCTACCTGTGTACGTCAGCCCAGTTCCAGACTAGCCCTCCAACAACAACCTACCTGTGTACGTCAGCCAAGTATCAGACTAGCCCTCCAACAACAGCCTACCTGTGTACGTCAGCCCAGTACCAGACTAGCCCTCCAACAACAGCCTACCTGTGTACGTCAGCCCAGTACCAGACCCCCTCCAACAACAGCCTACCTGTTTACGTCAGCCCAGTTCCAGACTAGCCCTCCAACAACAGCCTACCTGTTTACGCTTCCCAGTTCCAGACTAGCCCTCCAACAACAGCCTACCTGTGTACGTCAGCCCAGTACCAGACTAGCCCTCCAACAACAGCCTACCAGTGTACGTCAGCCCAGTATCAGACTAGCCCTCCAACAACAGCCAACCTGTGTACGTCAGCCCAGTACCAGACTAGCCCTCAAACAACAGCCTACCTGTGTACGTCAGCCCAGTACCAGACCCCCTCCAACAACAGCCTACCTGTGTACGTCAGCCCTGTACCAGACTAGCCCTCCAACAACAGCCTACCTGTGTACGTCATCCCAGTATCAGACTAGCCCTCCAACAAAGAGCCTACCTGTGTACGTCAGCCAAGTATCAGACGCCCTCCAACAACAACCTACCTGTGTACGTCAGCCCAGTACCAGACTAGCCCTCCAACAACAGCCTACCTGTGTACGTCAGCCTAGTATCAGACTAGCCCTCCAACAACAGCCTACCTGTGTACGTCAATCCAGTTCCAGACTAGCCCTCCAACAACAGCCTACCTGTGTACGTCAGCCAAGTATCAGACTAGCCCTCCAACAACAGCCTACCTGTGTACGTCAGCCCAGTATCAGACTAGCCCTCCAACAACAGCCTACCTGTGTACGTCAATCCAGTTCCAGACTAGCCCTCCAACAACAGCCTACCTGTGTACGTCAGCCAAGTATCAGACTAGCCCTCCAACAACAGCCTACCTGTGTACGTCAGCCCAGTATCAGACTAGCCCTCCAACAACAGCCTACCTGTGTACGTCATCCCAGAATCAGACCCCCTCCAACAACAGCCTACCTGTGTACGCCAGCCAAGTATCAGACCCCCTCCAACAACAGCCTACCTGTGTACGTCAGCCAAGTATCAGACGCCCTCCAACAACAGCCTACCTGTGTACGCCAGCCAAGTATCAGACCCCCTCCAACAACAGCCTACCTGTGTACGTCAGCCAAGTATCAGACGCCCTCCACGTGTTTGCCGTATCCATGAGCTGGGAGTGAAGTTTCACCAACGCAATTTCCCTTGGTCTCTCCTAGACAAAGTTCTCAGAAAATTACAGGACACGGACTGCTTGATTACACTTATCGCTCTGAGATTTCTGAGATTACAAGCTCTACTGGTGGAAGTACCTCTCCAACTACCCTAGCGCCGTGAGATCTGACTGAGATATTTACACGGCAGCCTGAACAGCCTCCACCTTCATGCCTTGAAATTGTCTGGGTAAGGATGCCACCTGCCAGCTGATCAGCTGCACACACAGTGGCAAGTTCCTGGAGACCAGCATGTGCTTCCATCTGTAACAATAGATAGGACATGTTTGTCAAGTGGCAAAGGGGAAGAAGATTGGTCGACGTATATATAACGATACCTTTACTTGCTGACTTCTCCATCTCAGAAACGTCAAGAAGTTCACACATGGCACAATCGAAGGCTTCAGATCAGCTCTTGCTTGGGTATTACAACACGACCGACTCTCTATAGGTACTCGCCCAGTGCTAAATCGACTCCAAAATCGAAGTGCTTTGTGCTGGAAGATAGCACAATACAATTCCTAGTCTCCAAATGAAATCCAAATGAATCGTACTGTCAGCATTGATGGAGCTACCATATGAATCCATGAACAATGCCACACTACAAATGGCTTGGAGACAAAAAAACAGGTTCCTCCTCGCTGTCACAGCTACACGTCATGGATACTTCTTCAATGACGCACGCACAAGACTGAAGCACAATATCTTCCTGGTCCCTACTGGTAGTGTATTGTCCAACATCTGTCTTTGGTCCCCTTGGGCACAGGCGATATTCGATACCTGCCTTAAGTAGAAGTCTGGATTATCCGGACAGGTTACTACGTCCTATCACAGTTCTGAGCTACTACATCACAGGTACTCAACACCACAGAAAGCAGAGATAACGACTATTAATCTCATGCAAGCCCTCTTTAGTATAGGACATTACCAGTACTGGAAAAACGTCACACATATGAAACTATCACCGGCAGGAAACAATGACGTCATCAGTAGGAAGCCTAGTAGTGGTAATTAACCGGACGTGAGGTCATAGGTGATCTCAGGCTTGAAATGACATCATAGAAGACCCCAGAAACGAAAGTAACATCATAAATACGTCAAAAAAACAAAACAAGGAAGAGAAGTGACGTCATAAAATGTTAAATGTTAGAGGGAGTTGTGGGGTAGCCAAATGGTTAAGCGAGTTCAATTCCCCACATGGTTACAATATGTGAAGCCCATTTCTGGTGTCCCCCGCCGTAATATTGCAGGAAACCATACTCACTGAGTCACTCATTTAAATCTAGAACCCAGAATTAGTCCCTCCCACTCCCCAATATATCTGCATCTTGTTGATGAGGGTTATGGGTTGAAAGAAGTGACGTTTTCCCGCCTCGCGCATGCACAGTTGCATTTCCTGCGGAAGACATTAGGGGCGCGTTGCAAGCCACGAATCGCTTAGAGAAAGCAAATTCATCGCTCAACCCGGGGTCTGCAACAGTTCGAAGCGCTTGCGCACTCTTCCAAAATGGCGGCACAACTACCGCTTGGTTGCCTTGACGTTTGTTAGTTTGTTGTTTAACGCCGCACTCAGCAATCCTCCAGCTATATGACGGCGGTTTGTAAATAATCGAGTATGGACAAGACAATCCAGTGATTGACATCATGAGCATCTATCCACGTTATTGGGATACGATGAAATGCATCAACCATGTCAGCGAGCCTGACGTTCCGCGTAATGAAGAACGTAAAAGAAGAGGCTCGATGACGAGCTGATGAAATTTATGACTACTTTGAAGATGTGGAGCAGACTGAGGATGATGGGGTGTTAGCTACCTTTGCTCATTTTCTCGTTGATCCTGTCAAGAATTCCTTGTTCCGCTGTCAAAGTAAGCGGCCATTTTGGCTTGAGAACGAAGCGACCTCAGTCAGCGATTGTTTCGCTTGCAAGCGGCTGAAAGTTAGCGCACTGTTGTAAGGCCAATCGCTGTACATCGCTTGTGATACGAGGGTTGTGATGCGAGGATTGTGATGCGAGGATTATGATGAGAGGATTATGCTGCGAGGATTCTGATGAGAGGATTGTAATGCGAGGATTGTGATAAGAGGATTGTAATGCGAGGATTGTGATAAGAGGATTGTAATGCAAGGATTGTGATAAGAGGATTGTGATAAGAGGATTGTAATGCAAGGATTGTGATGCGAGGATTGTGATGCGAGGATTAACTGATAAGCTATGAGCCTCACATAGAAAAACTAAACCTAAAGACATTAATAATACGTATTTTTCAACATTATCCCTTTCGACATGATACACTTTTGCAAACGATGTTGGGGGGCTGTAGAAAACGTTCTCCACAGTTACTATGACGTCATCGTTCGAATCGAAATGGTGTCCGTAAAAGTTTTCGTCATGTTTGGGAACAGATAAGCCTGGCAGAGCCAGATCAGATGAATAACGTGGGTGCTGAAAGAGTTCAAAGCCACATTCATGGATTGTAGCCATGTCAATAACTGATTTTTCCGCACCAGAGCATTGTCCTGGTCGAAGAGAACTCCTTTTCTCAGCTATCCACGCCACTTAGTCTAAATTGAATTCCATAATTTCTTCAAACGTGCAGCATAATATCTGGCCTTTCGGAAGATAGTCCACCATGATGACACTTTGCCTCTTTTGGTGGTGGTGATGTCAACTGTTTCCACCGTTTTGATTTTTGTTCGGACTTGTTTGGACTTGAAGTGGTTAACTCGGGTTTCCTTCATTGCAAAGACCTGTCTGGATCAGCCTCCAACAGATCTATATTATCACAAAACATGTTGTACCTTGAGCGTCATCAGATGTCAAAGCCTTGGAACCATATAAACTGATACTTCATTGCCTAAGTTTCTGTGAAAATCAAATGTACTCTCTTCTGGTAAATACCTACCGAACTGCCAATATGACGCTTAGTCATTCGCCTATCGGTTATCGCCATTTCCTGGATAATTTCTGATGTGAAAGGCTTTCCAGGACGGGGTGTTCGTCAATGCTCTCCCCGCCATGCTTTTTCTCTGCTGCCCACGTCTTTACAGTGACATAGGAAGGAGCATCCTTTCCAAGCGGTGTACTCATATCTTCATGGGTGGCTAAAGAATAGGGGGTCACTTGGTTTCTTCCTAATGCATAACCAACTCAGAGTTTAAAAAGCGTCATTCTTTTGAAGTATTTTCTGTGACAATCATTTTTTCGATAAAACCACAGGCCACCCCAGAATGTCAAATGGTCGGTCCCTAACAGTTGTGTATGAAGGTACATATACAGTGTTGTTTAGCCGTCAATAACGCTTACAAAATGCCACGGCTTGCTGAAAATGTCTGCGCGCCGTAGGTTTGCTGCAAACAGGAATGGCACAAAACGAAGCTGACAGACATGTTCATGTTCATCGAAACACAATATCATCTCTTAGGCCAACACTCAGGACTTGCCACTGGCCGGCTGTCCACGTGTGGCGTCACAAGCCATATTCGGTTGGTTCATCTCCGACAATTCCTGGGTTAAGACCAATTGGTGGAAGGACCTTACGATACCGGTTGAGGGAGTACAACATCCGCCCCCGACGCCAAATTTTGATGTAGACAGAATCTGAGGCTCGGAAGACAAGACTGGAACTGTATACTGTTCACAGCTTTCATCTGGACAGCTCTAATAGTCGTGAAGGTTGGACAGGCGTCCAGATGAACATGTTTGGCGATGCTTGTGTTATTCTTGGAAGAACTCACGGAACTCACATGGCACTTATGGCAGATTGAATGGGGTACGCTACCGGGCACATGCAGGGACGTAATGCCCGCCCACATGCTGCACGTGTTTCTCCAGCAAACATATCACAGTTGGGGTATGAATTTACACCAGGACAGACAGCCTATAACAGTTGTGTTTGAAAAAGAACATAAGAGTGTGAATTTACACCAGGACAGACAGAATATATTAGTGGGGACATAAATTTACATCAAGGTAGACAGCGTATAGAATTTGGGTTTGAATTTACACCAGGACAGACATCCCATAAGCGTTGTGTTTGACTATGAATATTACACTAAATCAGCCAGCTGTTGGGTATTAATGCACACCAGGACAGCCAGCCCATAGCAGTTGCGTATGATTTTACACTAGCTTGCGAGCCAATTAGCAGTTGGGTATATATATACACACACCAGGACAGCCAGCGTAAAACAGTCGAGGTATGAATTTACACACGGACAGCCAGCCCATAACAGTTGGGGTATGAATTTACACTAGGACAGCCAGCACATAGCAGTTAGGTATGAATTTACACCAGGACAGCCAGTCACAGTTGGGGTATGAATTAGGAGATAAACATACTGTGCGCTAAATTTAACATTTGAAACCTCATGCTGCGCGTTCGGTTCCAAATTCAATTTAGCGGGGTTAAATCTACAGGTAACCTAGCTCTACATTGAAAACACAGTATGTTTATCACCATTCTACCATGACTAAATAAAACGCGAACTCTTTGCTGTTAGCAAATATACGGAAGTGAAGCGGCATGGGTTGAGTTCAGTGTTTTGAGTGGGTTATCGATCTGAATTACGGAATCACCGAACAAAATATGGCGCTGTATATACTCAAGCAGTTTGTTTACACCGTTATACTTCACTCGAACATATGACAGGCATTGAAGGCATACAAGCACGGCAACTTGGTAAGCTAACATGAGGTGGGCATCCCTAAATTAAACAAAGCAAGGTTTGCAAGGCTTTCGCTCTACATTGCGCGTCACCATTATGACGTCATATCGCTCATCGTGACGCAAAATATATGACGTCACAGTCGTATATAGAAAAGCGCCAAAATTCCAAGCTCTCTGTTGTCTCCAAAACGTAAATACATTCCCTTAGTAGATATCTATCGTGTTTTCTGCACGAAATGTATTCCCACACATCCTTTGATTATTGTAGTAACCGCATTTGTGCATTTTGTAACCTGTAAT